AGCTTTAAGCAATAAATCTCAAAGTTGTGTCCTGCTGTCTGAGTGATCCGTTTTGATCCATTAACATTGTGCTGAACGTTATGTTTGCTCCATTTCTGTCCATCTTTTCTGCTATCTGCTCATTCTCAGTTTCATTTTATCAAAACAAATAGAGCTAATTATTCTCCGGAGCAGACTCAGCCAATAGCCTCAGCAGGTGTGAGCAGTTTGCTGCTTAAAAATCTAAACAGATCACACATTTCAAGCAAATTCCAGGCTGAGATGTTAATGTCTGCTAACAAATAGGGATTTTATTTAAGGTTAAATAATATATCAGTTTTCTTGATTTATTTAGTAATAAAAAAAATATTGCATCAGAAACTCAAGATTCATTTGGGATTTTCGTTACTGCGATTGAAGCCTTCCACATTTCTTCTTAACGACTGACCCACAGCCAAATTTTATCTCATTTCACCCTCTGCGAAACCAATCTGCTCAGCGCGACGAGCTTTAATCTCATATTTCTATTATATTCATTCACTGGAAGTTTCTAGGATCAAATAACTTAACCACATTTTTTGAATTTGGTGTTTAGGAGTCTGACGTTCTTATCCCCTAACTCAATGGTAAAATCTGGTTTCCAGTAAAAGTTTTCAACACACTTTATAACTGTTAATTTCAGCAGCACAAGACACACAATACAACACATTTATAAAGAAACAGATTTTACATCTATGACCAACACCAAATTACAGAAACACGACTAACTGCTTAACATAACACAGGCTGTAGATTGTTCTTTATAAATACTGAAAATAGCTTCAACTCTGTGTCTTGATTTAGGGAAACCATTTTAAGATGCATAGTTTATGTAGGTTCCACAGGAAGGACTTGAGGTGCTGAAAAGCTTTAACTTGAGGTGAGTATAGGTCAGTGTAATATATTAAATAGAAGTCTATAATGTTTAAAAATAAAGTTTTACATTCTCACATTTGTTAAACAATGTTTTTCCACTTCTACTGCACTCATTCCTCCTGTTTCATAGCTATATCATGTCTAGCTGGAAAGGCTAAAGTCTTGATTTAATTCCGTATTTATTCAGGTTCTGCTCATGTAAATATAAATTACATTTACCCTGTCAGTTAATTGGTAGGATTTCCATAACTCCTGTGAATTCTGCTGGGAAACTGAGTCTCATGCTGTGGCTACGGCTGTTTACATGTCCACTGAAAGAGTCATCAAAATGCAAATATGTCAACTGAAAATGAAAAACTGTATAAATTCACCCAGCTATAAGAAAAAGAGTCTTTGATCACCAATAACCAAAATTATAAGCTCTGACTGCCTCTAATTATTTTTAATATAACAAAGTTGCATATTAATACGCATGAGCATTCAGAATTGAGAAGCATTCTAATTTATACAATAATTTGCATATTATTTGGCTGAACATTTTGTTTATTAATCCATCATGTACATTTGCATGCAAGCGAGAGCATTCTAACAACCTATACGCTTTATCGTTTTAATGTGTTTAATGAAGTAAAGTTAATATTAGTCTCTTATCATAATTTTTATTTCTCACGTTCAGTAATTTTTTATTTTCATTTGGGTTATTAATTAGTTAGTAATTATTAATTATTCCATGAGCCCAAGTGCTTGGAGTTTATGGAGATTTTTTACCCCACCTTGAGCTTGTGGAAGGTGCAAGTTTTCAGCTTAAATAGATGATTTTTCTGTTCTCGGTGTCACGATCTGCCCTGATAGCTCACCTCAATTACTCATGCCTTTCACCTGCTTAACTCTGTCCAGCTCCTAATTATCACTCATCTCATCCACCTGCCGGTTTCACTTTCCTCCCTATTGGGCTTAATTCAAGATATCGGGACAGGATCATAGTTGGGTGTCTGTTTGTGTCCTGTCTGTTGGTTTTGTTGGTTAGATTTATACCCATGTTCCTGTGAGGAGTTTATTCTCAAGCCAGTGTCCTCAGGCGAATTATTCCGTAACCACTGCTGAGAGCGTTTCAGCGTTTCCCCAGGGGTTCTGTTTTCCTGATTCCGTTCCATCTCACCCACTGGCCCTGTCTGTCCCTGCCTGATCTGTTCGCCTGAACCACGGTTGGACTCCTGCTGGATTCTGCCTCCCAGGTGCGTTTCTGTCTGAGCTGGATGCTCGACACAAACCTTCACGCTCTGATGGATTCCTGGAACCCATCAGGGATCTGAATCCCTGTCCTGGATCGGAGTCATTCTTGCTCACTGGGTTTGCTGCATGCTTATCCTGCCTAAGATTGAGAGGATGGACTGAACTGTTAAACCAGAGTGTCAGTGATTGACTGCATTCCCCCCCTGCAGTGGCTACAGGTCCACAGATCCTCAGCAGTGTGCTTTGTTTCTGTTCTATTATGATTTTTTTGTTTGAATAAAAGTTTTGAACTTTCCTACTGGCTGTCTCACCTTGAATACTGGGTCCATCTGTCTCGTTTTATGACACTCAGATAAACTTAATAATTGCTGCTGCTCTCTAATAATTCTCATATCAGAGAGATTTGATATTGTGGATAAAAAATCATAAGTAAGCAATAGAAATCTTAAAAAAAATTCTTATTAGTGTCCTTAGTGACAACTTGACACAGATGCCTATTGGGTTCAGTTTACATAGGATGTATAATCTTTTTATTTTACTTGTTTTCCAAAAATAAAGTTTCAGTGCCAAACCAGAACTGTTACCAGAGAGGATCTTGCCAGCTTCTTCTAAACAGGGCTTGACATTAACTTTTTTGTTACTAGCCAATCAGGATTTTCACTAACCACAATTTTGTTGTTTATTTTTAGTATAATTAAAGTTGACAATGGGTGCTATCATGTACTCGAAAGAGTTTTACAACTTTCTAAATGTCAAAGACCCTCGTACCAACTTACATTAAGATCATGTAAAATGTTTAACACTGCAGGACATAATAAAGTATTTACCTAATATAAGGTTCTGTCTGAAGATCCTTCTATATGTAATATGCAGTGTATAATAATTTTATATAGTGCTGCAGAGAAGTATAAGATAAAAACTCAACTGGAAAATCGCTGATAAGAATCGCTGGTTCAGTATTTTATACAAGATAGAACAATAAAACAAAGCAGCTGATCAAACATTAGAATACAGATAACTTTGAGAAACTGTCAGAGCAGTTCATTAATTTCAACCAGTCTTAATCTACTCTCCATCACTCCCTTTTCTTCTTCTTTGTCTTTCCTTCCCTTGATTAATCTTCAGGTTTGCTTTTAGTCTTCTGACCAAATAGTTTGACACCTTTAATGTTCTGGGATGCATCCCATTTCATTTTGATTATTATTTCAGAAAACAATTATTTTCTTAAGAAAACAAAAGCAGTCGTAGTGGCAATGCAACCTGCCAAAGTCGCTAGTCGTAGTGGCAATGCAACCTGCCAAAGTCGCTAGTCGTAGTGGCAATGCAACCTGCCAAAGTCGCTAGTCGTAGTGGCAATGCAACCTGCCACGGTGTTAAAGTCAGCCCTGATTCTACACAAATATATTCATTTGTTTTCCACAACCAAAGCCCATGATCATTTCATCATCCACCACACTATACCTCTTTCAGCCAATGTTAGATTTATTTCTCTGTTGTGTTAATCTTCTCAAAAATATTTAGAATGCACTGATATTGGTGCACAGCAGCAGTTTAAGGTCTAAAACACCCCTGCTAACAGATTCCCTAACATCACTAATCACATTTAAAATTGTTTTTTTTTTTGCTTAGTGGTAGCTGGCATCTTCTATGTCTGATATTTATAAACTTTGATTTAAACAGGATTTTCAGAGAAGAAAATCTTCTTGTAAACTATGAAAACAAAGTTGAAATAAATGTACTGAATATTTCGTACAAAAATCAATAAAGAAAATAGGCAACTGTGTCTGTGATCTTTGCAGTACAGACAGATTTCACAGAGAATATAAGAAAATAATAATCTAACCTCTACATTGATGCTGAGCAAAACTTATCTTGCTCACTGAAACAAACTCATATCTCTGAATCTTAAACCTCATGCTACAGAATTTTTAGAAACGTAGGGCCTGATCTTCAAAGATTCAGAATAAATGGCCCTAATTTATTTTTTTTTTTTAGTTTGTGCTGTTGATCTACAAAGATTGCTGCGCAAATGCTGATGCCGGTAAACTGTTTTGGTTTCACCCATTAGAAAGTTTGTTCTACTGGCAAAGGGGAGTTGTCATAAAAGAAAGATGAGGTTCAAAGACATGCAGCAAGGAACTAAACTATAAAAAAATATTTAATTATTAATAAATTATCAGATAATATCTATCTATCTATCTATCTATCTATCTATCTATCTATCTATCTATCTATCTATCTATCTATCTATCTATCTATCTATCTATCTAT